TTGACCAGACAGACAGAGAGAGAGAGAGAGAGAGAGAGAGAGAGAAGGAAAGTGAGAAAGCAAGCCACCAGGTCCAGGACTTGAACTGCAGTTGGCCATGTGGGAGTCCAGTGCCTTTAACCACCATGCCACCTGCTGGCCCCAAGTCCAGTGTGTTTTAAGCCACGGGATTCCAGGACTTGAACTGCGGTCAACTACGTGGGAGTCCAGCAATGTAACCATTATGCTATCTGCTGGTCCCAGGACCTCTGTTTGAATGGAGGTAAGACATGCGAGTGTGTCTCTCTGGCAGGTCTATAACCTGACACAGGAGTTCTTCCGGCATGGTAAACCAGTCAATGCTGAAAGTCAGAACAGTGTGGGAGTGTTCACCCGGGAGGAGGTACGCAACCGCATAAGGGATGACCCTGACGACCCAGAGGCCACCAAGCGCCTGAAGCTTGCCATGATCCAGCAGTACCTGAAGGTATCTTGGCCCTGGAGGACAGGTACCAGAGCGAGGAAAACTGGGTCTGGCTGAGCCTGGGTCAGGGGAGGGCTGTGCTGCTGGGAGGTCCTGTCCCTACCCCTGCCCAGCAGCGTGGTCACCTGGCTTCTCTCCGGGTCCCTCAGGTGGAGAGCTGTGAGAGCAGTTCACACAGCATGGACGATGTGTCCCTGAGCGCCTTCGGGGAGTGGACGGAGATCCCTGGAGCCCACCACATCATCCCCTCTGGCTTCCTGCGGGTTGTGGAGCTGCTGGCAGAGGGCATCCCAGCTCACGTCATCCAGCTGGGGAAGCCTGTCCGTTGCATCCACTGGGACCAGGCTTCAGCCCGCCACCGGGGTCCTGAGATTGAGCCCCGGGAAGAGGGCAACCATAATCACGATACTGGGGAGGGCGGCCAGGGTAGAGAGGAGTCCAGGGGGCAGAGGTGGAACGAGGACGGGCAGTGGCCAGTGGTGGTGGAGTGCGAGGACTGCGAGGTGATCCCCGCAGACCACGTGATCGTGACCGTCTCGCTGGGTGTGCTCAAACGTCAGTACACCAACTTCTTCCGCCCAGGCCTGCCCACGGAGAAGGTGGCTGCCATCCACCGCCTGGGCATCGGCACCACCGACAAGATCTTTCTCGAGTTTGAGGAGCCCTTCTGGGGCCCCGAGTGCAACAGCCTGCAGTTCGTTTGGGAGGACGAGGCTGAGAGCCGCACTCTCACCTACCCGCCCGAGCTCTGGTACCGCAAGATCTGCGGCTTCGATGTCCTCTACCCGCCCGAGCGCTATGGCCACGTGCTGAGTGGCTGGATCTGCGGGGAGGAGGCCCTCGTCATGGAGAAGTGCGACGACGAGGCAGTGGCCGAGATCTGCACGGAGATGCTGCGCCAGTTCACAGGTGCGCCCTACGTCCTGGGGCTTCCGCCCAGCAGTCCTCATCTGTTGGTGAAGTGGGGAGGCTGCACCTGCCAGGAGCTTCCTACCAGGCACCACCTGGGCCTCAGGCACTGTGGGATTGGAGCATCAAACACTCAGAACCACGTGCAGCCTTTATTCTTCCTGAGGGCGGCTGGCAGAAAAATCAGATGTGGCTGCCCATCGTCTTTTTCCTATTCACACTGTCTTGCTTAGCGTTGAGTTTGTGTTTGATGCCAATTGTTTTAGTTGAGCAATTTCCACTCACTATTCCAGGAGGGCCTCTTTAAGAATTCCAGATGTTAGAGGCCAGTAGGTGGCCTGGTAGTTAAAGTGATGGGCTCCCACATGGCCAATAGTGGTTCCAGTTGTGGATCATGGTGGCTAGGCACGTGTGTATGAGTGCTCAAAACCCTGGGAGGAGAATGGAGAAAGGATTGTGGTGTGGCCACCCCTGTGGGGTTGATTTCTTGCTCTCCCTCTCACTGTCTTTCCTGTGAGTGCACGTGCCCTGTGATAAAAACCTGGGGGGGAAAATAAAGAATTCCTGATGCCATCAAGGTGGCAGGTGGCATGGAGGTTAAAGTTGTTATACTCCCACATGGCTGACTGCGGTTCAAGTCCTGGACCTGGCAGCTTGCTTTCTCATTATCTCTCTTTCTCTCTGGTCAAATTAAAATAAATAAGTAAATAAATAAGTTAAATAAAATAATTCTTAAAACAGAAGCAGAAATATGATTATCAGTATTTTTCTGATAGAGAAAGAATGTTGTTCTGCCTTGATCCTTGTGCCTCAGCCTCTGGAGTAGCTGGGACTGCAGGCAAGCCCCACCATGCCTGGATTTTTAAATTCTTTTTTATTTTAAAGTGGACTTGGGGGCAGGCAGTGGCCTACCTAGGGGTTAAGGGAACCAGATCCCACATGATCAGCGGATTTGAATCCCCACTTTGGAGGCCTGAAAAACATACTGGGTATGTGAGCGTACATGCCCCAAATCTCAATGGTATGGAGAAATGGAAAAGAGAAGGGATTGGGATTGCAATGTGACCATGCCCCACTGGGGGGCGCTTCTCCACCCCTCTCTTGCGAGTACACACACCCACCAGCAACTGAGAAAAACAAAAGGTGCACTGGGAGTTGAGCCTGGGCTTCCCATGTGGCCTCCACCTACAGAATTAGCAGTGTCTTAACAATGATGTTTTTGAAAATAGGAAAAGGAAGACCCTGAGAGATGGAAAATTTTGCTGGGAGTCATGAGGAGGTGGGGGTGGTGGTGCATAGTTTGAGTCCCAGGCTCTCTCCTCGACTCCCATGCCTATCCCTGGCAGCCTAGTTGACTGCCCTGGTCGTGCAATGTGGGTTGTCCATTCATGGATGTCTTCCTGCTGCACCGACTTCTTACTCTTTTTCCTGGCTCTTCTCATTCCCCAACAGGGAACCCCAACATTCCAAAACCTCGGCGTATCCTACGCTCATCTTGGGGCAGCAACCCCTATTTCCGAGGCTCCTATTCATACACGCAAGTGGGCTCCAGCGGGGCAGACGTGGAGAAGCTGGCCAAGCCCCTGCCCTACACGGAGAGCTCTAAGACGGCGGTGAGTGTGGGGGTTGGTGAGAGAGAGAGTGAGTGAGTGTGGGGTGTGCAGGGAGAGGAAGGAGGGCTGGGAGGAGAGTAGGTATCTTGTGTGTGTGTCTGATACAGCGTGAGGAGGGCTAAGGTGGTGTTCCCTAAGTGGTGCTAAGGTGAGTCAGAAATGGAGTAGCTCCCATGTGAGAAAGCAAGCAAGAAAAAATGTGCACTTTAACATTTGGAAGAAAAAAAAAATGGAATCAAATCAAACTTTAAATCCTTTCCTCAGGGTCTGAAAACAGAGCTGTTTCATGCTATGCTGGCCAGTATGGTAGCCATTAGCTTCATTTAATTTAAATAAATTAGTTAAAACTTAAACTAATAAATGAACACTTTAGTTTCTGGCTTACACTAGTCACATTTCAAGTTCAATAGCCACATGTGGTTAGTGGCTACCATATTCCATTGCGTCACTATAGATCGTTTCTAGAAATGTTCTAGAAATCATAGAAAATTCTGTTGGACAGCCCTGATTCAGTGGAAGTGTTTTCCTAATGTTTTAGAAAATAAAATCAGGAGTACTGACTCTCCCCCAAATTATGTCAATTCTATACTAAAAGTCAATCTGAAAAAAAAAAATACATTTTTACTCCCATAAAGTGGATTTTAAGTTTCTCCCACCATGTATACACATATAATAAATGTGAAAATCCCAGCATAATTATATTTAAAACAATCCCTTGGTATAGTTGGTGAAGATTTCAGTCAACCAGTGTGCCTGTGCCTGCCTGGTTGTTCTCCAGGATCATAAGAGAAAAGGTCTGATGTTGAAACAGCAAAGCAAGACAAAAATAACTGGTTTAAACCAGACAAACGTTTACTTCCATGAGACAACAGGAAATCCTGAGCAGGTGTCAGGACCTGGTATCATTAACACCTGGCTTCTATCTTCAAGGCTACTTTGTGGTCCAAAAGAGTTGTAGAGGCCCCGGCTCTCACATCTGCATTTTAGGCTGGAAGGAAGAAAGGCAGATGGACAAAAGAGGTGGACCTTTGGAGCTGAGTCAGGTGTCTCTAAGCAACAGTGCACTTGAAGCTCATTGACTAGAACGCGGACACATGACTACACCTAACTGCTAGAGAGATTAGGCACATCGTTTTTCTGTTGTATGACACTAGACCCAGTTAAACATCAGGGCTTTGACGAGAAGGAGAATATGTGGATGTGAAGTAGGTGGCTTGCACTCTGCCACAATACAGACACCCTTTCTCAGTTTAGCAATCTTTGTGGGTTCCTTGTTGGTGGAATACAGACCCACTTCTCAGTGTGGGAGGTCTGGACCACCTGGAAGGTGATTAAAGTGCTGACTCTCGGCCTACCCCAGAACTGCTGGATTAAAAGCAGCATTGAGTCAGGTTCCACAGCTGGTGTCTTGCACACTCAGTGTGAGAGGGCCTGGGGTAAAATCCACATGCAAGTGTGGGATACAAGCACTTGCACTTTGGTTGGCTCTCACCTAGGGAGCCTGCTTTCTCAAGGTTGAGTCCTGGATGTGCCACAATGATCTCTCCCCCAAGTTCTAGAAATGTTCTAGAAATCATAGAAAATTCTGTTGGACAGCCCTGATTCAGTGGAAGTGTTTTCCTAATGTTTTAGAAAATAAAATCAGGAGTACTGACTCTCCCCCAAATTATGTCAATTCTATACTAAAAGTCAATCTGAAAAAAAAAAATACATTTTTAACCCCATAAAGTAGATTTTAAGTTTCTCCCACCATGTATACACATATAATAAATGTGAAAATCCCAGCATAATTATATTTAAAACAATCCCTTGGTATAGTTGGTGAAGATTTCAGTCAACCAGTGTGCCTGTGCCTGCCTGGTTGTTCTCCAGGATCATAAGAGAAAAGGTCTGATGTTGAAACAGCAAAGCAAGACAAAAATAACTGGCTTAAACCAGACAAACGTTTACTTCCATGAGACAACAGGAAATTCTGAGCAGGTGTCAGGACCTGGTATCATTAACACCTGGCTTTCTATCTTCAAGGCTACTTTGTGGTCCAAAAGGGTTGTAGAGGCCCCGGCTCTCACATCTGCATTTTAGGCTGGAAGGAAGAAAGGCAGATGGACAAAAGAGGTGGACCTTTGGAGCTGAGTCAGGTGTCTCTAAGCAACAGTGCACTTGAAGCTCATTGACTAGAACGCGGACACATGACTACACCTAACTGCTAGAGAGATTAGGCACATCGTTTTTCTGTTGTATGACACTAGACCCAGTTAAACATCAGGGCTTTGACGAGAAGGAGAATATGTGGATGTGAAGTAGGTGGCTTGCACTCTGCCACAATACAGACACCCTTTCTCAGTTTAGCAATCTTTGTGGGTTCCTTGTTGGTGGAATACAGACCCACTTCTCAGTGTGGGAGGTCTGGACCACCTGGAAGGTGATTAAAGTGCTGACTCTCGGCCTACCCCAGAACTGCTGGATTAAAAGCAGCATTGAGTCAGGTTCCACAGCTGGTGTCTTGCACACTCAGTGTGAGAGGGCCTGGGGTAAAATCCACATGCAAGTGTGGGATACAAGCACTTGCACTTTGGTTGGCTCTCACCTAGGGAGCCTGCTTTCTCAAGGTTGAGTCCTGGATGTGCCACAATGATCTCTCCCCCAAGCAAGGCCTGCCTTGGTGCATTTTGCCCCTACTTCTTCCTCTGTCTGAAATATATTTGGCTGTTTAGTCACTGATCATCTCCCAAGAATGAGTCCAATGGTCCTGTCCTCTGGGATAGCTTTGGGGTTTTTTTCTGACAGTGAGCCTCTTTTCTGGGCTCTCAGTGCCTCATCTAAACTCCCACCCATCACATCACCCATGATGCTGTTTAGTAATTGGGTTTCGTGTTTGGCTTTCCCACCAGCATGGAAGCTCCACAATGCAACAGCTTGGTCACCTTTTATCTTCCAAGTGCCCAGAAGAGTCCCTGGACCTTAACAGGGGCTCCAGAAAGGTTTGTTAAATTACCACCTACCTTTATTGAGTGCTCATGTTCTTCCTGGTTCTAAGTATTTTAGAGACATGGTTTCACTTCACCCTTACAACCACCAATAGAAGTAGGTGGTATAAACTGACTTGGCAGGTAAGAAAACCAAGGCTTAGGCATGTTAAAACATTTGCCCAAAGTTCACTAGAAAGAGGCACTAGGAGTCTTTGAAACTGCAGAGTGAAGACTTGCAACAGCCTCAGGGTAGAAAGAACTGAGACATGGATATTTGAGGAAGACGCAGGGGAAGGTGGCCAGGTGGATGGGCAATGCCTCATGTCATGGAAGCAGCAATACCTGCATCTCAGATGTCTGACCAGTCCTCTCTGATCTGTTGTAAAGATGGGGTTCTGGGACAGGTGGGGAGCCTCTTAATCTCTGCTGCTCCTTTATTCTCAACTCCTTTTTTCTCACCCAGCCCATGCAGGTGCTGTTCTCAGGTGAGGCCACCCACCGCAAGTACTACTCCACTACCCATGGTGCTCTGCTCTCAGGTCAGCGGGAGGCTGCCCGGCTCATCGAGATGTACCGAGACCTCTTCCAGCAGGGGACCTGAGGGCTGTCCTCACTGCCAAGCGTGTTCCTTAAAGAACCACTAACTTGTGACTGCCCATCCCTGACCCTCGCTGCCTGTGCTCCTAACTTCCCCACCCTCTGTAGAATGGATTTTTTTGGTGTTCTTTCTTTTCCTTTTGGAATGGATTTTCATTTTTTGTAGAACTAGACACCCGACTGGCTTCAAATCCGGTCCTGTAGCTTTTCCTTTCCTCCATGCCAGGCGGGGGATTTACCTCTGTGTTCGTACCCCCAATGACCTCCCGTGCCTCCCCTCCTCTCCTGCCTTGGTATTGTAAGTGCCTTCAATAATTTACATTTTTGGATAATAAAAGAGGCTACCTTCCCCTTGCTCCTCAGCTTCTCTGATTTTCTTCAGTCTCAGTGTGTGTGTTTGTGTGCTTTTAGTTGTGCCCCCTTTGAGTGAGGGGGTGAGGCAGGAGTGTGGCCTGGCTGTGCCACCACAAGGGGATGGGCCTGCCTTTACTGGAAGGGGGATCCCTTCACCCCAATCGTCATGAATTGCCTGGTGTTCACCTTCCTGCTGGGGCCCTCACCGCCCAGCTCCTGCTCCACCAGGACCTTTGCAGGGCTTCTCGAACTTAACTGGATGACAGGCTGTGTGAGTTCTGTGGGAGGGGACATCAGTGCAGCTCCACACCAAGCTCAGAGATGCTCATTAAAAGTTTTTACTGTAAAGTTTATTTACAATTTTTGAGCTACGGAGATGGAGAGAGAGAGAGAGAGAGAGAGAGAGAGAGAGAGAGAGAGAGAGAGAGAGAGAGAGGCAGAGGCACCTGCAACAGGGTCTTCCACAGCAGTCCACACATAGCCCTAGCCAGCTAGGATCACGGGTACATGCATGTGCCTGCTGGCAAGCTCAGGGAGGGATTTGAACCCAGTACCTTTCCCAGGTGGTTCTAATTGTGTTAGCCTTGCACTACCACCTGGCCTTGATATATCATTATTCACCGTGTCACATGACCTCAGGGCTATGGGTCTGGCCCTTGGGATGGCTGCTTTTGAACCTCTGGGAAGGTGGGTGGTCTATCAAGGGGGATAGCCTAAGTGTCACCCACCTATTGTGTCCCTAGGGCCTGCCACTTGCTGGGAGAGTGTATTTTTCTTCTTTCCTGGCTGAGTGAAAACACACACACCTTATACACACTTCACATGTACACACACACATACAGACACAGACACAGACACAGACATATCCACACTGATGCATTTGCTTGCCCACATGCACACACAGACACACACATCTCTGTCTGTACACCTCCTTAGGAATACGCACATGCACAGAACCTTAAAGAACATTTATTTTCTTACTCCAGATTTCTGGAGCTAGAATTTGAATTCCATAGAAGGGAGGAGATTACAGGAGGAGAAGTTAAAAAAACCCAGTGAGGTCTGGCTCCATAACCTAGTGGCTCAAATCCTGACCCCAATGACTTGAAAACATGCTGGGCATGTGTATGTGTGCACCCAAAATCCCAATGAGTTGGAGAAATGGAGAAGGAATTACGGCGTATGAGTGCATGCCCAAAATCCCAGGAGGGGAATGGAGAAGGGATTGCAGCATGGCCATCACCCCTGGGGGGTGATTTCTCACGTTTCCTCTCACTGTCTCTCCCTGTTTCTCTCTGGAGTGTGTGTGTGTTTTCACTCAGTGAGGAAAGAAACAGAAACATAGCACACGTGCCCTATGGCAAATATACGCGAACACACACACACACACACACCAGAATATTCATAGCTACATAGCTTATAATAGCTACAAACTGGAAATAGCCAGCGGTCTACAAAGAGGAGAACGGGTAAATTGTAGTGTGTGTGTATACCACGGGAACTGCACAGCGATAGGATGAAGTGTTTGCAACATCATGGATTAATCTCAAAAACATGGAGTGAGAGAAGCCAGACACAGGGATATAGGTTATGATTGCTTTTATATCAAGCTCAAGAACCTGTAAAATCTACCTGTGGTGGGGCCTGCCGGTGGTGTGGTTAAGGCAGCTGGATCCCACATGGCTGACTTCATATTCTGAGTCCCAGATCCGGTGACTTGAGAAACATACAAAGTATGTGTGTGTGTGTGCCCAAAATTCTGAGAGGAGAAAGGAGAAGGGATTGTGGCATGGCCATCCCTCGTGGGGGCTGATTTCTCACTCTGGTGAATGCACGTACCCTATAGCAAAAACGAAACAAAACTTTATGGTGTTAGAATTAAGGGGACAAGGGTAGTGATTGGGAGGACGGAGAAGTGGGGACACTTTCTGGGGTTACAAAAGTGTTCCTGATCTTGCTCTGGGTGGGTGGTGGTTGCATGGGTACACACATTGGGAAAAACGCATCGAGTCATACACAAGATTTATGCCCTTTCCTATGTGTGCACCTCAATTTAAAGAGCATAGAGCCTGCAGACTCCTTCCCCTGACCAGCACACCCCCAAACACAGCCGTGCTGGTCCAGTTCATTTCCTCCTTGCTGCACGAATGACGCATACTTACAGCAGATAAAAGAAAGGGACTGCTTATGTCACTGGCTGCCTGGTGATAAGGCCTGACCTCGAATTCATGGAGGATGTCATGGTTTACCAGCCCCGTTGCCTGTGTCCTTTCTGCATCAGCAGCTGCAGGAGGGAGGTGGCGATTGTTCCCCTGGAGAGGAAATTGAGATGTCCAGAACTTGTGTGAGGTCACACAAGGTCACACAGCTTGGGGAGGATGCCGTCACATGGGTAAGGGAACAACCCTGAGAGGAGCCAATGGGGAGTCACAGGGACAGGCGCAGGAGGGGTGGCCCTGGGGAGTCAAAGCAGCCAGCCCAGCCCCCCTCCCGGCATCCTACTGCATATCACATAATCACATAATGCGGGTCCCATGTGTGATCCACAGCTCCAAAACCAACAAGGAAGAGCCATCCAGGAGCAGAGAGAGACTAGGTCCGCCAAGAACACAGGAGTTCATGTTGTGACTAAGTTCCTTCCTTCCTTCCTTCCTTCCTTCCTTCCTTCCTTCCTTCCTTCCTTCCTTCCTTCCTTCCTTCCTTCCTTCCTTTTTTCCTTCCTTCTTTTCTTTCAAGATTTTTGCCATAGGGCATGTGCGCTCACCAAAGAGAGAGACAGAGAGAGGGAGAGAAGTGAGAAATCATTCCCAAGAGAATGGCCACTCTGCAATCCCTTCTCCATTTTCCTCTTGGGATTCTGGGCATGCACACACACTTACCTGGCATGATTCTTCAAGCCACTGGATCTGGGACTCGACCCGCAGTAACCATGTGGGAATCCAATGCCTTAACCACCATGCCACCTGTTGGCCCCTATGTGACCAACTTTCCTTGGATTGATCGAAACCCCTAGGGCTCTATGGGAGTGTGTGTGGCTAATGTATGCTCCTGCCAGCACCCTGTCACTGGCTGCTATGCAATGCTTATAACCTGGTGGAAGTTCTTTTTTTGCCCAGGATTCTGTGCAGAACTGGCCTCATGGCTTGTGCGGAAGGCATCAGGAACTCCACAGTCAAGGTGTTCGGCTGTGGCTTTGTAGAAGCCTCACAGGCATTTCCTTGAAAAGGCTGATGACACTTGGCACGTGCTGTCTCTGCCTTCTCTGCTGTGCCCAGATGAGCGTATGGTGCCTCTTCCTTCACAGGAACTGCCTGGAGTGTCTGCTCCTCCCACAAACAACTGCAGGAGTGCAGTACCTCTGCTCTGAATCACCCTGACTTTACACGGGCCTGTCAGGGTGGGCTGGAGGGTAGCCCCAAGGTGCAGAGGGAGGTGGGCTGCTGGCTCAGTTCTTAGAATTGCCTGTCTAATTAATGGTATGCCAGACTTAATGGCAGACTTACAGGAGGCTGTGCTTCTTATAATGACTGGCTAGGTTGTTTGTTGAGGCCACTCCTGATTTGCACAAGGTAATCAAAACCATCAACGTGCAGTAAGACGTGCCTGGACGCCCAGGATATATAACTTGGTGTTGTGTGTTTAATGTAAGAAAGGAAGGGTCCCTGTGCTGTTTCATACTGTTTAACTGGAGATTAATGGATACAAAAGCCATCTCGCTTTTCCTGATTCCGGTGGAGTGCTTTTCTTCTCCTCCTCCTTCTTCTTCTTTTCTTCTTCTTCTTCTTCTTCTTCTTCTTCTTCTTCTTCTTCTTCTTCTTCTTCCTCCTCCTCCTCCTCCTCCTCCTCCTCCTCCTTCTCCTCCTCCTTCTCCTCCTCCTTCTCCTCCTCCTTCTCCTCCTCTTCTTCTTCTTCTCCTTCTCCTTCCTTCCTTCCTTCCTCCTCCTCTTCCTTCTCCTTCTCCTTCCTTATTCCGTTCCTTCCTTCCTTCCTTCCTTCCTTCCTTCCTTCCTTTCTTCTTCTTCTTCTTCTTCTTCTTCTTCTTCTTCTTCTTCTTCTTTCTTTTTAAATTGCCAGAGAGTACATCCTCTTGACAGAGAGCGAGAGAGGGAAAAAGCACTCCTCAGTGGTCACCCCACAATCTTCTTCCCCAGTTCTACATCCTGTCAAGATTTTGGGCACACACACACACATAGGTGCCCGTTGTGTTTTTCAAGCTGCCAGAGCTGGGATTTGAACTGTACATGACCATGTGGGATCTGGCTCCCCTTAACCACTAGGTTACGGGACCACTCCCCCTTTTAAGTTTAGTTATTTATTCCATGAGTGAGAGAAACAGAGAGAGACAGTGCCCCCAACAGGGTCTTGACCCCAGCCACCCTTGATGATAGACACATGTACGCCTGCCACTCAGAGCTCTGGGTGTGGACTCAGAACCTCCCTATGTGGAGGAGTCTCCCATACTTTGCTTTCTCTCCTGGTCTGCTTCTCCATAGCCC